GATAGTGATTTTTAAAGCACCTTGGTTGTCAGCCCCTAAAAGTAGGGCAGGTGAAGAAACAAACATGGAAGGATTTGAGGAATACTTTTTATTGTAGTAAGATAAAATTGCAGAGTCGTAAAAGCCCATCCAAGTTCCTCTGTGCCCATCTTATACTCAACAAAATCATGACAGAGCTATTTTGAGTTTCTTTCTCATACTTTCTGCTATCTGAGGACTGAGGACTGTGTAGTCTCTTCTTCGTGGCTTGTTCCTTCCTTCCCACCTTAACAGTTCTTTCATACCTTTTCCAATGTCATCTCTAAATTCCTTTACATTGGCCCATTAACTCTCATGATGAATCCCTAAATGTTTTATTAGATCTGAATCCATTTGTTTCTTACTCTGCAGCATCAGACCAGTTATATTTTTCCCGGCACCTTATTTTCATCTTTGTAAACAAACAAAAACAAAATGAATCACTGGAGAATATTACTGGGGCTGCCCTTGAAGATCACCTGGAAGCTTCAACTGGTTCCGAATGCAGTGGTGTGGGCAGTGATGGGCATGACTTGGTATGCCCATGTAATACCCCTGCTTCACAAACTGCACTGATTGCCAGTTTGCTTCCAGATGCAATTCAAGAAGTTGGCTCTAATTTATAAAGCTCTATGTGGCATAGGGCCTGGTTATTTGAGGAACCACCTATCTCTCATAATATCTACCCTGCTGACAGGCACACTCTGGGTTTCTATGATTAAAAATGCCACCTAAAAGGAGCCTGGAAGTTGCCTTCCCTTTCACAGTGCCTGCCTTCTGGATCATAGAATCATAGAGTTGGAAGGGACCATGGAGGTCTTCTAGTCCAACCCTCAGCCCAAGGCAGGAGTCCTCATATCATTTCAGATGAAAGGTTGTCCAATCTTTTCTTGAAAACCTCTAGTGATGGAGCACCCACAACTCAGAGAGGCAAGCCATTCCATTGTTAATAGTTCTCACTGTCAAGAAATTCCTCCTTACTTCCAGGTTGGATCTCCCTCTCACGAGCTTCCCCCCATTGCTTCTTGTCCTACCCACAGATGCTATGGAGAATAAATCGATACCCTCTTCCCTATCATGTCTCCCCTTAGTCTTCTCTTGGTTAAGCTAAACATACCTAGTTCCTTTAGCCATTCTTCATAGGATTTAGCCTCCAGACCTTCTCTGCACTCTTTCTTGTATTCTCAGCATCTTTTTTGTATTGTGGTGACCAGAACTGGACACAGTATTCCAAATGTGGCCT